ATAGCTCAGTAGAATAAGTGCCTGCCTGGCAAACACATCCTGAGTTCAATCCCCAGTACCGGGAAGAAAAATAGCTACATTGGGGGTGGGGATGTGCTGCCACAAAGAACAAACTTTCCAGGTGATAAATCAGAAGAGAGTAAGTACCACAAAGCTGGAGGAAGAAAGATAGGAATGAAGAATAAATATAAATATGGGGAGAGATTGTACTTTTTTTTTTTTTAACAGGGTTTCACTATACAACTCAGACTTGCAGTGATCCTCCCAGCTCTGGGATTACAGGCCTATGCCACCATGCCCAGACTCATGCATGTAGGGGTGGAGGGGAACAGCATGTGTTACAAGGAATCAAACCCTGGTCCCTGTGCTGGCCTAAACGGGCACTTAGTCCACCAAACTACCTCACTGGCCCTATCATAAGACTATGAAATACAGCTTTTAAATCTCCCTGACATGGTTGAATAATTGACTAGAGCCTGTTCTAATAGTGGATAATCTCCTTGAATAGTCTCAGAAGCAGCTAGCAATAATACACTTAAAGGAAGCTGTGTCCCAAGTCTCCACCAAAACATTTACTTATTAAAGTTCTCCACCCAAATAAATGCTGTGGAGATTTAAGGTTGAAAACCCACTGGAGACTGCAACAATCTTCAGTGCAGAGCACAGCAAGGGTCACCACACTTGGACAAAGGTCAGTAGAGATTCTCCAGGGAAACTGAAAGCAGAGAGAATGAAGTGAATGGAAAGGAGCTTGTGGAATACAATCAGCACATATTAGTATATGCACAAGGAAACCCCATACGAAGGGGAATAGAGGAGGAGGAGAAGAATATTTGAAGAAATATGGCCTAAAACTTCCCAAATTCAAAGTTCAATGAATTTCATGTAAGATTAAACTCACAGAGACCTCTGTTTGCACACACCAGCAGCAGTGATTAAAAGACAAATACTCTCCAGTCATGGTGGTGTACACCTGAATCCCAGCATTTGGGAGGCTGAGGCAGGAGGACCCCAGTGAGTTAAAGGCCAACCTGGGCTACATAGTGAACTTAAGGCCAGCCTGAGCTGCACAGTGAGACCCTGTCTCAAAAATGAATGAATGGATAGGTAAATAAATAAAATCATGAAGCCAGGGAGAGAAAGAGAGAGAGAGAGAGAGAGAGAGAGAGAGAGAGAGAGAGGATTAACAGATGACTTCTAATCCGAAATCACAGAGGACAGGAGGCCACATATGACATACTGAAATCTGTCAAAAGAAAATTAAGAATTCTAAATCCAGAAAAACTCTTTCTAACTTGGAGAAATTAATATATTCACTAATAAAATGGAGTCGACCATAAAGTCTTGTTCTATAGGAAATACTATAAAAATGGTCCAGGCAGGTATGAAAGGACACAAGAAAGGAACTTATATTCACAGGAAAAAATAAAAGTACCAGAAAAGTGTGCTACTTAAACAATATAAAAGATAGTAAAAATACATATTCTTAAATTTATAATTTTTTCTGCTATATCTCTTGCAATTTATTACTAAAGTAATAAATGTGGGTACTTAGACACAATGCATATAAAAATAGAATTTATATGACAATAGTAGGAAAAAGGAAGAGAGGTTTAATGGAATTATATTGCAGTAAAATTTTTAGATACTATTGAATTAGCATCAGTTCAAATCAATTTATGCAAAATGTCATTTATAATCTTTAAAAAAGGGCCTGGGGAGATGGCTCAGTAAAATAAGCGCTTGCCTGGTAAGCACAAGGGCCTGAGTTCAATATCCAGTTCCACAAAAAAAAAAAATCTTTAAAGAGAAGCTCACAGGAAAATAACTCAAGAGTTTGCTAAAAGAAATGAGAAATACATAGAATGGTACACACATAAAAAAAAATTAACACAAAATAAAGTAGGAATGGAGAAAAATAATACTAGAAATGAGTATATTTCAAAATGGCAGATGTACATTCTGCTTTATCAGCAACAGAGTAAATGCAGATGTATTAAAAACAAGGGGTTGAAAGAATAATATTTTTAAAATTTAAAAATTTTGGAACTATATGCAGGAAACAAATATTAAAGTCAAAACCACAAATAAAATCAATTCAAAAATGAAAGAGGCATAGTACAAATATACACAAATTAAAACTGGACTAGCTATATGATGATTAAGCAAAATAAATCCTAAAATCAACTGTTTTAAAAGAATAAGAAAAGCTTTGTATAATAACTGTGCCAAATCATCAAGATAATATTGTGAACTCCTATGCACTTAGCAATAGACTTCTACGTGTGTGAAATTAGACTGAGAATCAAACTAAAATACAAACAAACAAACTAACAAAAAATACCCCAGAATATTTAACAATAGTAATCAGAAGCCTTCATGACCTAGTTTAAGTATTGGATCAAAAAGGTACCCTAAGACAAACAATGAAAGAGGAGATGTGTTAACACTAAAAAATAAAATCAAATAAAACAATTAGGTGTCTACCAAACACTGTCTAAAAACAGCAGAGTATGAATTTTTCCTGTCACATGCACACAGGGTACATCCATATTCCTATAGCAGAGTAATGCTCCATCGTGTCTATATACCATATTGTCTTTAGGCATTCATCTGTGGATGGATAATAGGCCAGTTCCAAGATTTAGCTATTATGAACTGTACTGCTATAAACACAGATATGCATAGATCACTATAAAAAGATGACTTTGTCTCTTTTGGCAAGATCTCTACAAGTGGAATTTCTGGGTTAAGTGGAATTTCTTCTGTGCAGCAAAGGAAATAACCAACAGAGGGAAGAGACAACTTACAGAATGGAAAAAAAAATCTCTGGCAGCTATTCCTCACACAGAAGACTAGTATTGGAACACATAAAAGGACACTTCTAAAGTTAGACACCCCCAAAATAAAAGCCCTGAAAAAAAAAAAGATGAAGTTCAATGAATAGACAGTTTTCAGAACAAGTACAAGTGGCCAATAAACACGGGGAGAAATCTTCAACGCTGCTGGCCACTAGAGAAATACAAGCTAAACCACCACCGGCACTCCACGCTACTCCAGAAAGAATGCCTATCGTTAAGAAGCAAAACGACAGCCGAATGCTGGCAAAGCTGCAGCGAAGAACAGCCTTCCTACATTGATGGTGAGAATGTGGCCTAACGCACACGCTTGGAAATCAATGGCTTTAAGAGAACGGATACCACCCACTGCATGTTCTTCAATCAAGTAGAGTGAAGATAGGAATCAATGACAGAGAATAGTCTCAAGTATGTGCTAATTAAACAAAATACTACCAAGGCACCAATGAACCCAAAGTAAAACTCCAGAAGCAAAACTAGAAAATAATTTGACATGAGTCAAAGCAAAAGCGTAACATGCAAAGTGTGATGGGTCCAAGTGATGATGGTATTAAGAAAGAAATTCCTCTTAGCTTCCATATCAGCACAGGAAAATGGTCTCAAATGAGATTACCTTATACTAAATGAGTTAAGAGGAGTAAATTAAGCCCAAAGTGTGTAGGAGGAAGAGACCATAGGTATATGCAGTTGTTAACAACTAATGTTTCACAGAATGGTACACGTAAGATTTTCATAGATATGAAACAAACAAGAGTATAGTTAATACAAAATAATAAAGTAATGAGACCTAGATCTCTATGCCAAGCAAAAAAGACCTTTAAAAAGTGAAGAGGAAGCAATGCGACACGAACAGAAGGAATCCATAGTCATATCTGAATGTTTAATGGTATCTTTTGTTCTAAAGATTCTTTTTATTTTAAAAGCCAACTGCAATATAAATGTGTTTGCCATATTACTTAGTGCAGCCCTTAGCTGACATATTGAAGACTTGATCCTTAGCATCTGAGGCCACAGAGCAGATTTCTGGGAGAGCTTTTGCTCAGTCAGTGTTCAGGTACCTTCTACCTTGAACTACATCAGTCTCCCCTCCTCCAGCCTGAGGCTTTATCCATTCAGGCCACAGCCACAGAAGTGCACATAGTCACGTGGGATGTGACTCAGAATGCTCTGTAGGACGTGCCTCTCCGCTTTGCTCAGCACACATGAAAACATGACAGTGAAGTGACTTGTGAAGAAGCCCAGGCATTTAATAGTGGCTAATGAAAGCAGAATTGACTTTAAAACACAACCCTAAATAGGGTCACATTAAATGTTATTCTTGAACACTGCTTAAAACATTGCTTAACCATATTGCACAATACCATATGACTTAGGAAACATGAAAACTTCAATTAGGAAAATGAGCCACTCAAGAGGTAAAATGTGCAAAATAAAGAAGAAAGAAGTCATAATATTTAAAATAGAAATTAGGAATAAGACAAACAATAACTGAAAGAGATTTTTTAAAATAAACTCCAGTCTTTCAAAATTAGCAAGATAGCTCTTTGGTTAACAAAAGACCAACTAAAATATAAATGGGTGAAGAGGGTGCTGGAACATGAAAATCTGTACTTACTATCACCCCCCAAAAAAAGTTCTGATAATAAAAATTTCCAGTTTACATAGAATGAAAGGGCTCACATACAACAAAAACTTGCTCAATACAGGTAAGAAGACAGCTCTTCCAGGTGAGAATGTCCCAGTACTGAAAAGAACAAAGGAAACATGGAGCCATAATAGAGAATAAAGGGACAGCCGCAAATGGCTGGACACATGGCCATGGCGTGGAGATAGCACACTCCAGTGAGGGATGGAGAGCAGACCCTCAAGAGAAAGCCGTCACTGGATGACAGACCCAAAAGTGGACCCAGGGTACCTACAGACGGAGGAGAAAGAAAATCTTCTGTCGCCCATGTTTTCCTCTGGATAGTCTGTTTTATGCAAAATTAATTCTTAGCCCTGAACAAAGGTGGGAACCCAATGCAGTAGATGCCTTATGTGGTAGGTAGATTCTCAAGTCTGTAGTATAATAAATGAAGCTATTGGAAACTAGGAGTAAGGAGGAATTTCTTGAAATAAAGCTCATAAGCAGGGATCAGAAGGGAGAAATTAATGATTTTATTACATTACATAAAAACTTTCTCAGTGAATTATCTACAAAAACATAAAGATACTTGGGTGAAAAAATTAATATCCAATGAATGATTAATATCCAGACTCGTACATGGGAAATTTAGTAAGAAAATATAGGAGACAAAGAACAAGTGATTAAATATAACATCTGGCATATGATAGTTGAAAAATGTAAATCAACAATCACTCAAAGATATTTACAATTCGTAATGACAGGAATGACTAGACAACAAAGCAGCAGTCACTCACTTTACTCCCAAGTAGCAGCACTAATGAAACTGCGAGCCAACGCTGTTGGTGGGCGGGCCCATGGAAGATACCAAAACAGGGGCCTACACATCCCAAGCCATCTGAGAGAACCTAGTTGCACTTAGCTATTGTGGGATTGAGCCACCTTATGGACTAGTGTTTTCTTTTTTTTTTTTTTGGTGGGACCGGGGATTGAACTCAGGCCCTTGCACTTGCCAGGCAAGCGCTTATCCTACTGAGCCATCTCCCCGGCCCCTGAGCCACCTTATGGAGACAGTGAACAGCAACCCTGGAGGAGAAGAGCACATCCCAGACCAGGACTTGGGGGCCATTAGCCACAGCCATGGGAGACACAACCATGTGGAAAGGTCTGAAGAATTCTGAGCCTAGAAGGCAAGTGGGAGCCAGCAGCTGTGCAGTCTACACTGTACAGCATGCATGTGTGTCCTTCTGTGTAGCAGCTGATATTGCAGTGTGGGAGGGGGGTTAGGCCTGTGGGCTCCACAGGGCTTCACTCTAGGCCATGGGCTCTGCTGTGGGGATCTACAGAGCTGAAATGGAATCAGTGACAAGAGGTCACATACAAAGCAAAGGAGACAGCGATGGACAGATAGTGACTTATTTTTCTTTGACATCCACTTAAATCATGTGACCTTGCATTTCATGTGCGGATGACCATTTTTATATTTCTATTAGTAACAGGCATTGAGAGAATGCAAGCATTCTTGAGATGCTCTGAGGGGTTTGAGTACACATTCTTCCTTGGGTGTCCCTTGTAAATCTGTAAACAACATCTAGAGCAAATGCAGTCACATGTCAGCCTTTAGAAATGAACATGCTAAGTGTGCAGAGTACCATCACATTAGTTAAGGTCTTGTCCTTGTAAGACAGGAAAGAGCCTAGTCCCCTGGCCCCAGGCCTTGGAGAGACCCAGCAGGAAAAAGTCAGGGTCACCAAGTTCACTCAGCCACTATGCATCTGAATGAAGCAAGCAGCATTTGGGGGAGGGGTCTCAATAACCACAGAGACAGACAGAGGTGGTTTAGGGCTGGATGGGGTCTGAGTAGACAGGGTTAGGGTGGCAGCAGGGTCCTTTGGCGCTTGGGTGGTTCCAGACTGTCTTCCTCTCCAGCACTGGAGTCTGAGAAAAACCTTCGCTGTCCCCAGGGTCCTGGAGTGGGGTTCAGGTGGGGTCCTGCCCTCCAGTCCTTCGTGTCATGGGATTCTCTGCAGAAACTCGAGGAGTCCTCTGCTTGGGCTCCCTCCTGCTGACCTGAGGACAACCAGAAACCATCGAAAGGTCCAATGAGAAGAGCAAGACAAATAAGTTGTTAGAAGACAAATTTGTCAACAAGTTTTTAATATACACATAAGTATATACAAAATAATTAGGATATACAGCTACTTTCTCTTAATTCAATGAGAAGGCTTATACTAATATTGTTTAGAGAAAATATCATGTCTGCATCTTGTCCTCTGAATAACTACTATGAAGACAATATGCAATGTATTAATTATTGTAACTGTCCTACTAACTTGTTTTGAAACTGTTTCATTGCTATTTCATCTTTTTTTTCTCATTAAATGAATAAACAAATTTTAACAAAACCCTTTTAGTGCTGCTTGCATTATACTTTTCCTTCTATTTTTCACAAGATCAAGAAATAGGGAACATAGGGATAAACATATTGCGTCTGCCTGGTCCTGCACACAGAACTTTTCATTTACTCCACGGGTGCTCGAGGGCTGGAGTTCTGTGGCCAGAGAACAAATGAGTGGGCTCTGTAAAGCAGACCAACAGAAGATGTATTCAGAAGAGCAAATAGGAGCTTTCTGACACATGCATCATGAGTACACAGAGGGATAAGAAAGAAGTAATGTAAAGGAGTGAATAGGACTTGGACGTTTAGCCTTTTAACTGAAGAGCCATACATTGTTAGGTGCCTTGCATGCACGAATGAAGATACTGAATTTTTAAGGTGACAAGTTGTGGGAAGGCAAATAAATGCACAGGGAATTAAATGGCACAGAAAACCCAGTTCTTACAAAATTTGCTGTGCTGGTTGTTATTCTGGTACGTGTGCTGAGCTAGGAGTTCTGAGTAATTAGCCCCTGTCTTTACTAGAGCCTGAAAGAGGGTGATACCTTTACAGACTTAGATCCACATTCAGGCTAAGAGAGAGAGTAGGGAGCTTGCAAGAAATCTGTTTATTTCAAATGTTTTTAGCTCATATAACCTCAGGCTGTGTGACACCTTTAGAGCACCATATTCTGGAACCTTCCACCTTCTCAACAGCTCAGACCCCTTTGGCCAACCAGGAGAATGCTTGACACTGGGAGTTTCAGATGATGTTCTCACCCATTCGAGCTCTCCTTAGGCAGAGCTGGAGGGCCTAACACACCTCTGATATCCAGATAGCCTCACTTCTTTTCCCCTGTCCTAACAGACTGAACATCAGGGGACCTCAGTATCAGCAGACATAAACTTGTACATAAGCTACAAATTTTCATAACGTTTAATGATTGTCACTTTGTTCATCAAATTTACAGATAATCCCTGGTTCTGCCAAAAAAGAAAATTACAGTTGTTTGACTAACTGCGCTCTGGACATGCCATTTTCCACTCAGTTATGACCATATAAAACTGATTGGAACTTACTTTTCCTAAAAATCCCATATAATAAGAGCTCTTTGGTCATATCTGCAACATAATAGACTACCAACAGTCATTCCAACAATAACTGTTGGCCATAATTTAAAAATGTTTCGAGGTAGCTAGCACTAGCACAGTCTGGAGAAGACCAATCCCTTTCTCTTCCAGAACTCAGTTCCCCTGAATTCATCTCCTTCCTCCAGATGAAGCCAACCTTAGCTTTCTCAAGCCTTTACTTGGTGATTCCCAAGGCAAGCTGAGAGTCTGGCAGCATCTGGGACTGCAGTTCCAGTCCGTGTCAGTGGGTGGACAGTCACTGCTATACGGATTTCTACACTCACTTTTGCAATGAGCAGACAACTGGAAGTCTCTTTCATCTCCCACAGAGGAACACGGTGGCTCAAAGTGGGAAAAGGAGACCTATGGAACCCGGGGTCACCTACTCATCGACCAGTCAGGACTGGAATTCAACTTTCTGAGAGCACTAAAGAGGGTTCAGAGCATATGTAATCATCACATCAGACTGACTTTCTATGGTATCTTTACTGCATTTACACCCACTAATTGAATGTAAATTTAGTAAATATCTCCTTAAAGCCTTGCACCATTCTAGGTGCCAGAGAATGAAAAAAACTGGCCAAAACGCTGCCCTTCTGGAATTCCCGTCTTTGCAAGCCAAGGAGCCTTTGCTCCTTTCTCTACTCACCACATGGAGGCAGGAACAAAGGAGAATGCTGGTAAACCTGGAAGTAAGGCCGCAGAGTACCAGAGAAGGAAGCCTTGGGGAAGGTGAAGATGTGCGAGCCAGAGGTCATGCTGTAAAAGGACACAGCTCCAGCCTCATAGTCCAGAGCCACCCCCACCACCAGGGGCACATCACGCAGCTCAAGGGCAGTGGGGGGAGAGGTCAGGGCTACATAGCCGTTCTCTGCACACAGCCTGATGGCCCAGAACCCACTCTCGGGCTCCTGCTTCATGCCAAGGCCTCGCTGCACATTCTCCATACAGACTCCCACATCCCAAGCTGTTCCTTCTCCAACATTCACTTCGAAGTAGTGTCTTCCTGAGCTGAAGCGCTCACGGCCCAGGACACAGGGGAAGGCCATAAATCTCGTGGGAGAAACTTCAGTATTCTGCTGGCTGCATCCACGAGACACCCGTCGGCAGTGCTCAGACAGAGTTAGGGCAGGATGAGCTGTGTCTGGATCCAGAGTCACACTGACTATAACATAAATAAAATCAAACATTTCTTCTTATACTTATACTGAGAACACTATTGTATTTTATTTTAAATTCATTTATTTACTTATTTATCTATTTAGTACAGGGTCTCTCTGTTCAGCTTCACCTCATACTGATCCTCCTGTCTCAGCCTCCCCAGTGGTGAGATTACAGGTGTGTGCCACCATGTCTAGCATGGGCACGGTGCCCCCCGGTGTTCCAGGCTGGTATGGCATGCAGTACTGGGGACCCAACCCAGGCGCTTGTGCTTAGAAGGCAGGCACTCAGACTGCCGAGCTACCTCCCCAACCCGAGAACTCTATTTTAAGTAAATCCAACTTGTACTCAAATCCAATAATTAGTTTTTACTAGTTATATCAGCTGCCCCCATAAAATAAAAATCTTAGTATCTACTGCAGAGAATGCTTGCGGGATCCAGTTAGTTATGTTTTGCCTAACGTTAGCAGAACTTCTGAGCTGCAGTAATTTCCTACTTTTTCATTGCCTTTGTCATCAGTCATTTAGAGTAGCGAAGGCCCAGAGCTAAGCAGAACATGGTTTTCATCCCGTCTAAACCCTATCTTCTCCCCAATGACCTCCATGATCACTGAACAGTGCAGCGCTGCAGTAAGCCCTTCCCTGCCTCTATTTTGAGATTGACATGCAGGCAGAAATGGCACAAAAACAATATAAATAACAAGCCTGATGTTACTGCATATACATTTATATTATTTAAAATATTTATAGCACAATAAAAAGGCATACCTGCTATATATTTCATAATATATAAGTTAGAACCCTGTTCTCTATATATTAATCCATTTTAAGTTCTTTACATTAGGTAGTATACAATGCATTATATTAAAAACATGCGACCTGTATATTTTATATACATGCATTAAGCTTTGTATCTATATATGTTGCATGTTATTAGAGGTATAGGTTTCTCTCTCTCTCCTTAGACCTAAATACAATGAGTAGAGAGATGGCTTCATTATCAACTGGGCAAAACCAAGCTGTAGGGCAAACATACAGTGCGTTGTAACAACTGTCATCAGTGACTACGGTAAGGAAAAAAGACTGTGTATACAGAACTTTAATAAAAACAGGGACTTGCTGTCCACATCAGCGTGTCTGATGCATAAGAAAGCCTCCCCCACTTGGGAGCAAGGGCCTCCCACATCACAATTAGGATCCTAATGCTCTCAGGCCACAACTGACCACCAAATGTTCTTTACATACTTTTATGATGTCAGGCTTCCTCCTTGACCCATTGGTTACATTTACAACACTTAAAATTATGTCAGCTGATCTAGATAACCGGATCTTACTTGGAGATATGCTTCATGTGTAATAATGACTTGGATATTATCTTTAAACTGTGCTATCAAATCTGTCTGATATGTATCTGTCTATCTATCTATATTACATATTTATAAATTTTGTTTGTCCTGAGAACACAGCTGGGGCTTAAGATTGGAAAAGTAAATTGCAAATCCATATATTGTGATATTACAGGGAAAAAAAAAAACAAAACTATAGGGTGCTCTCCCTGACCTGATTTAGGGATGAAATTCAATACCTGTTGAGAACCATGTTCTTTCTATTCAAAAGTCATCAACTTCCTAGATTTGAAACTCTACCAAGAAACAAAATGAAAGTGTAAAATGCCATTCACAAAGCAAGAGATCACATTAGCAACAAGTTCCTAGAAGTGAAACATGACAAAACCAAATAAAAATTCATAAATCATAGATAATCACATAAACCAGAGCATTTAAAGGACTGATAGATATACACACAAAAAATAAAAATTTAGAGCCAAGGAGATAGCTCAGTAGAATAAGCACCTGCTTGGCAAGTTCAGGGTCATGAGTTCAATACTGGTACTGCAAATAAATAAATAAAATTTAAAAAAATTTAAAACTCTTAACTTCACTGGTTAAAAAAGGAAAAACTGAAATTAAGAGTACAACTGGTACCATTTCAAATGTATTAGGCAAAAACTATAAATTATACACAGAAAAATAGGGGGGTTACAGCAGCATTTCTTCTTGTGTTTTTCAACTGAACAGGCCTGACCTCAAGATCCACAGGGTCTTAAAATATAAATCCCAAGTTTCAGCGCTTTCCTACAAGTCTTGTTTACTAAATTACATGTTTTCTTTACAAGGTATAAGGCAGAATCCTCCAACCAAAGTCATCAATATTTTTGAAGCAAAAGTGTATTGAAAGGAAGTAAGATTCAGGACTTTAAATATCCTCATGTCAGCTGACTAACCCAGGAAAGACAGACTCAAGGTCTAAGGGGGTCTATCCCTGCAGCCACACTCTTGGTATTCAAGCACCTACTTAATTCCTCGAGGGTAGGCAGGGCCTGAGAATTGCTTCTGACCAGTAGGACAAAGTAAAATAAGGAATATAATTCTTGTTTTCGATTCATCATGTACATTCCATCTTACCCACAGATTTGCTATGGAGAATATTTCTCCCGACCAGATGCTAAAAAAGTAATTGTTGATTATGAGCAAGGGCCAGATAGGAGGCCTGTGGAAGCGAGGCAGTCTTCAGCCAGAGCCACCAAAAAGCCAGGGCCCAACATCCTGCTACCCAGAGGGAGTGAATCCTACCAGCAAGAGCAAGGGTGGCTACCTACCCTAGACAAGTGTCCAGAGGAGAGCATAGCCTGGCCACTCTTCACTGAAGCCCCCTGAGACACTGCAGAAAAGACCCTCTAGTTGTGCTTAAGTCCTAAAGTCTGTGACATATATTTATACTTTTACATAATGTTAGTATTTTCTTTTTAATTTTTATTTATTTACTTATTTATTTGTGTGTGTGTGGCCAGCTCAGCACACTGGGGGGCGGGGCTGGCTGGCATGTGGTGCTAGGGGATTGAACTGTGGTCCCTGTGCTTCGCTAAGCTTGTTCTAAGTAGGTGCTTTAGACCAGAGCCATCTCACCAGCCCCATGTTAGTATTTTCTAGGAGGACAACAGATAACTCATACAGTGATCAAACCATGTCAAGTTAGACCCAAGTTTGCAGCCAAATGAGTGGTGAAATTCCCAAAGCTGTTGTGTCGATTTGGTAATTATAGGATACGGACTTTCACAACTACAAAAAGCAGTGTTTAACAGAAAAGAGGGAGCAGAAAGCCCAGGCATGTGGCACTAATTCTTATTTTCATTCATGGTTCTAAACTTACTTAGAACCATGAACTGAGTCAAGTTCCTAAAACTACACAAACCTAGGCTATATTACTCACCCAGCTTTTTGGCATGTTCTAGATATTCGGAATATTCACAAGAAGCATTCCAGTCACATCTAATGCCACACCCTGGGGCTCATCACCTCTCAGATATGTGACTGGAGGGCATTACCAGCAAAACCCAATGAAATGAAAACTGTGAATATACTCATTTCTCATACATGGAAACCGAGTGATGAGAACTGCTGTCACTACAGCAGATAGCAGGAGCTGGAAGGCTCTGCAGGTGATCAGGATGCAGTGTGTATTCAGCATCTGAGCTAAAGGACAAGACAGTATGACAGCTTTACTGAACAGCACTTTACAACCTGCCTGACAGCACCGAGGGAATCCTGCACTCAAATACCTTGATGACGTCTTAATATTTTCTTCACATCCAAGTAAAGCTCAGCAACATCACACACAGTCTGAATCACCAAGGAAAAGGCCTCGGGAGCTTCCAGCTTCACAGCACAAGCCCTGGAAGAAGCACAGGCAGAGCGTCCTCAGGGCTCTGCTCCATTCAGCTCTGCCCACCAGGACCCTCCCTTCCCGCGTTCACAGGGACTCACCTGCTCAAGGTGCCCTTCACATCCTGTAAGGAACAGAAGGTGAATGTGTTAGCATCAGTACTCCTTGGCCTGTGGCATGGGAGACGCTGTCTGTAAACACAGCTCCCCAAGAAGCAAAGAGGGGCCCAGCCTGAAACTCTGCTGCAGAGTCAGGAGCAAGGATCCTCCCTTGCCTCTTCCCACTCAGCAGGGGCCTGTGATCACTATGGGGAATAGCAGTGGCTGCAGTGACATCAACCAGTGTCTTCTAGGGACATGCGCTGGAGATTTGCTCAGCTACTCTCAGGGAGCTCAGATCCTGAAGAGTGAGCCTATGTAGAAATCACTGGCCACCAAAGTCCTCTATGGTGGACGAATACCCAACTCCTGGGGCCAGGCCACCAAGGTGGCAACAGCTCATATAATGAGGTGGCAGAGCGGATGTGCTACCCTTTCAAGTAGAATGTGACCTCCAGTCCCATGAGTGAGAGTTAGAATTAATAACTGCAGGGGTTTATCTTAATGGATGCATCTTTTATGTAGAGCTGTAAGAAGCCCCCAGTAGCTCTGGAAGAAGTACTCTACCTACAAATCAGGAAACAATTTGTCCCCTTTGGGCTGCCCCACTGTTACCATCTGTCATCTGGAGCAGTATTTTAGGAGAGAGCAAAGTATAGAGAGATCTGCGTTCATGAGTCATAGGGAAATGAGGACTTAAGCTATCGATTAGAGAAAGCATTTTTCTTTTCTTTTTTTTTTTTTTACACTGCTGGGGATGAACCCAGAGCTCCACCCATGGCAAGCAAGTTCTCCACTACTGACCAATGACCTCAGTACATATTTTGAAATTTTGATGACATCTTGAGCCTCAGCAAACTACCCTAGACACTTGCAAAGCTTCTTCCTAAGCCTCTCCCAACAGCTAGAATTATAGGGGCAATGCACCATGCCACGGGAAAGTGCACTTTTGTATTTTGTATAAAGAAATACCATAAACTAATGGAGCTCCCCTGATCATATTAATGAAAAATTCCCCACACTATTGGGCAGGTGAGAGTGGCAGCAGGCCCCGCCCATCTTGCTGTGCTTTCTGGCCATTCTCCCCCAACCTCCAGCTCAGTGTCAAATCCTCCTGTCCTTCCCCAGTACTACAGCCTCACCTGCAGCAGGTTCTGGTCTGAGCCCTGACATTTTCCCTCTAGCTCAACCTTATGGCTCTCAAACTCATCGCTCTTCTGCTCCAGCTTTGCTTTACTCTCCCTTAGTTTCGCCAGCATCTGTTCTTCTTCTTTTTCCAACCTCCAAAGAAAAGCCTTCTCCTCCTCATGCAGAAAACTATGGAGATCCTTAAAGTCAGACTTGATTTTTTGTCTGTGAATCTCTATTGCATCCTAGAACCAAGAAAGTTGGATCAATAGTATAAAGACAAGAAGCATTTTTACAACATAAATGGATAAACAAGATGTACCATATAGTGGAGAACATCCATCACAGGAAGTTATTTAGGAAAAATAAAAATCTGACCCATGCTATATAATAAGCCTGTACATTGACTCAGAGCTTAACATTCTGTTAAGTGAAAGAAGCCCCCCTGCAAGAAGGACCTAAATATTAGCGATTACATTTAAAGCAGATACCTGCAACAGTTGAATCTGTAGAGCCCAAAAATAGGTTAGTGATTACCAACTGGTGGGAGTTAATCAGTGAGGACACAGTTTTATGCTGCAAGATGAGAAATTTCTGAGATGGGTAGCGTGAGGATTTCAAAACAATGGGAAAGTACTTAATACCACTTATCTATATACACACTTAAAAATTGAGAAAATCATAGATTTCACACTCTATTTTCCACACATAGAAAATGAATGTATGACTGGACACTGTGATATAATTTTCCCACAGGTTGTTCCAAATTTTAGAAAGTCCCAAGCTTCCTGTTGTACTTTGCATGGAAAGACTGGCTCTACATTCTCTAAAGTCATCTGAAAATGTCCATCTTTTTAAGCACCCATATTGGAAAGAAACTCCTTGATTCTTGCTGGGGGAAGGCCTCAGCATGGCCGCCCTGCTCTGTAGTAACTGCTGAGTGTCACCTTAATCCTTCCCATGTATAGACTGCCTGAACCTATTAGAGACTGGAGCAGCATATGGCTTTCCCACATATGTTAGCTATACCCCTACCCAGGGTCCCAGAAATGAGGGATAGAAGAGCATCCCCTGGAAGGTCTGATTCGCCCTCCACACAGAAAGGAGGTACAGGCTGGAAATGAGCCTGGAAGCAGCAGACTTGCTCACCAGCCTGTGTACATGGACCAACGGGTGCATTCCAATGATTTCCACAAAGGAATGTATCTCTGACACAGCGGAGCTGGACAGTCATGGAGATGGTCTGAAAGTCTTCAGCCTACAGGTATTGAGGTTTTTGCACAGCTATGATGTTTCTTATAACTCTAGCTGGCTTCCTTTATTGACTTCACATGTATCAACCCAGAGAGAGCCTGTTTTCCGAATATCCTTCGAGGCAGTTTCTATACCTATCAAGCTGACAGCCAGACCTTGCAGGGCTGTAGATGCAATAAAGAAATAAGCGTAAAGCTTGCATGCCAGGTGATGTGGTTCACATGTGCAGTCAAGCTAAGGCTATGCCTATGCCTGAAGCTACCATGATTCTACTCAAGTGAGTTATCAGGAATGCCAGGCAATTAGTGTTGGAAGATTCATGGCCTTGGTGATGCTGTCTCATGGAAGTAATAAGTAAACCACAGGACAATTGGTTTTGCTTTGAATTTCATCTGTCTTGTCAAGTTCAGTAAGAATAAACCATTGCTCCACATCTAAGCACTCGAATGCAAAATAGTTTGAGACCAATGACCTGAGGTTCTTACCTGCCACTCAGTTATCTGTGTTTCCACAAATGCTTTCTGATTCATACATTCTGTGTGGAGTTCATTTAATTTTGCTACAGCTTTCTGGAGTTTTTCCTGTGGGAAACAGAAGATGAAGAAAGTCTATTGAATTTGATTATTTATTAAACACTTAATGGGAATCCTGGCATTCTGAGATGTGTTAAAAGAACAATATTTGTTGAGTTCTTAAACTTTGCCAGGGTCCCTGCTGAGAGATGTATGTGCTGTGACACAGGGATCCTCTAACCCATCTGAAGAGGTGGTAGGATTTTTTATATTCTTTACAGGCTGTGGGAAGAGGCATGAATGTGGGTAAGGAACTGACCTACAAGGGTGTAACTGGTCAGCAATGGGTCGATGGTTCCAACCTGGTGCTCTGAACAGGGCCTGACCCATGTCCAGCACCACAATATGAGCAGAGAAGAGGGCACATAGACATGGCAACCACCTCTACCAAGATCTTATGCTCTAAAGCGCTGAGATAAACAATACGAACCGAATGGTGCTTTTTGCATATGTGAACCTTTGAAGGACTTGCAGGTGAGCAATACAGATCGATGAAGACATTAGCTAAATTCAGGTATGTTTAATACAGTTGGCAGAGTTCTGACAGGTTTTCAAGTAAGGAATCATGAAGTCATTCTGAAAGGACTTAAGTGTCGATGTGTAGGTTATAAGTTACTTTTACAACTGGCTTCACATATTTTTCTGGAAAGAGATTTGGAGCAGATGCAAATTGTTCATCATCTTCAAAATTGAAAAGGAAAATAACTCTTTCCCATCCATCTGGAAACTCGGTAAGTACGTTCATGAGTTCTTGAGTACCCCCAAGAAAGGACTGAACTTCTCCGGAGTCTTCACAGGAGTCTGGCTCTGTGTCACAGAAGATGATCTAGAAGCCTGCACTGAGCACACGGTCCTCAGGTCCAGCAAGGCTGAGGGTGGGCGCAGCAGGGCGACGCTGGCTCCTTCCTCACCACCACATAGGCTCGTCCCGTACCAGCTCTCTAGGGACACCTAGGAGCTGCCCACACCTCTCCCTCCAGTCACTCCCACACCCATCGTTTCCTACACTTTTTTCTGGAACCTTGCTTAAAACTACCCTCTCATCATCTTTCTTCATGGGATAATTAGAATTCTAATGTGGATATTCCTTTTATTTTAGGAATTCCTTGGTGATCTTTTTTCCGCTTCTGCCAATTGACTCTGCAAGTGAAAACCTCTAATGGCATGTAACCCTGTTCTACAACTGGGGCTGGGAGGCGACACACAGGTTCTGGGCCCTGCCCTCTTTCGCTCTCCCCTCCTGCTTGTCCTGTGCACACACCCCAGGAGCTGGTTAAGGTGAGGCAGGATCACCCCAGTTATGCTTTTGTGCCATGCGCAGTTTCCTCTGCCTAAACCCTGCACTGATTAAGTTTACTCATCCTAAGGAGCCACCTCTGAGTACACCACTCCTTCCCTTCCCACCCCTGCCTCAGACCCTGTCTTTACTGGTCTACTCCTCTATGGGAACATACAAAGTCCCCACAGGGAGTGAGCCCTCTTCCCCTTTGTTATGTTTCCAGATCCTTCTACAGAGTCCTTCATACTGTGGTTTCTCCCAGCACACCCAGTATGAAGCAGAGCCCAGGTAGGTATTTGGCTGAACATGTCCCAGAGCAGGAAGAAGTCCACATGGGGACAGAAGTCTGAACACTCTTCAGAATGTCATGATAGAGTTGGGACTGTACTCCCCCAAAAGTCCATCACAAGCTATTTTTCAACTACAAGAAATCCCTGTACTTCAAGGTCATCATCCCACTCTTTAGGGTCTGTCCTCTCAGGTTAGGCAAGAGCATAGGGTAGGTCTCAGCCGAGGCCTGTGTACACACTCACCTTGTAGACCTGGCACACGGCATCCACCAGTTCTGTGGCATGTCCCTGGTGCGGTGGTGCCCGCTCACAGCGCCAGCAGATGAGCTGGCCATCGTCTTCGCAGAAGAGCCGGAGCCGCTCTTCATGGGCCTCGCACACCAGCTCGGTTTCCATGTCCTCAAACACTTCAATAATGCTTTCCAGATGCTTGTTGACCCGGATGCTATTTTTATTGAACGGAGCTTGACATAAAGGACAAAAGCATATCTGTCCCTGACTGAGCTGCTCACTGTAGAGGTGTTCTAAGCACACCTGGCAGAAGCTGTGTCCACACGTGATACTCACTGGGCTCATCATCAGGTTCTGGCAGATGGAGCAGGTGGCAATCTCTTGAATCTTGGTGATGATAGTTGAGGCCATAGTTTTCCCCAAGTAGCACCAATGTTGGATTGAGAGGTGTAGAAGAGTAATCAGAATTCCCACCGGGGTGCAAATCACCTGTCCTGAGCCTGTGTACAAGGAGCTGGCTGGGATTGACTCCACCGGTTGCAGACTTTTCTCTAGAAGAAAGAAACAGATTGAAGTTTAGAATAAGGACAAACTTGAGTTGTTTAATATTATTGGCACAGCCATGTGTGGCCGTGTAATTTAATTAAACTTAAAATCCAGTTTCTCAGTCTTGCTACACATATTTCAGTTATTGAACAGTCATACATGACTATTGGCTATAGAAGATCCCAGCCCGGGCCTGACGAGATAACCTAACTGCATAAGTACCTATCTGATCTTGAGTTTGATCCTGGGTACCAAAGGGAAAAAAAAAGAAGATCCTGGCCTGATGTGGTGATGAGTATCTGTACTTCCAGCTACTTGGGAGGTAATATAGGAGGATTGAGGATCTCAAGATCAAAGCCAGCCTAAGCAATTTAGTAAACCCTCAAAATAAAAGCAAAATCATAATAAAGTAGATGCAGATGTAACTCAGTAATACAGTATTTGCCTGATACCGTGTGAAATGCACTGAGATCCAACCCCAGCATCACACACACACACACACACACACACACACACACACACACCAGTGAGGACCTCAAGTATTTTATCACAGTGGAAAATTCTGAGGAGCAACAGGCTGAGAAAGATGGAAAATGATGGCAGGCTTCCTTGGAGAGCTTATAGCAAAAACCACAACTCAGTGGGGGGAATGTGAAATTGCTTTCCATTCTAATAAGAATCAAGAATATTTAGCAAGTTAGCATCAGAATTATCTCCATAGCCCTCGTACTAACAAACAAACACTGGGTCACTTAGGTGGTCTATGAAGGATTCTATTTAGGCAATCTAAGTGGATTCTACCTGAATCCCTATCCTACCTCACATGTCATAAAAATCTGATCCATAAAATTTTGGTGCAGACACAACTAAGCCTAAATAAAAGAAACCAAGGCAATTGGAGGAAAGGGTATGTTCTTTCTGTGCCTACTAAATGAACTGACAGAGAACTACAAAGGTTGATGGAGGAGAGGTAGCTTATGGTGCCCAATATTCCTGGGAACAGAGCTCTAATGGTTTTTGTAAATAGGATATCATGTCCGCATCTTGTAGAGCAATTAACCACTAGGAAGAATGTATGCAATGTGTTAATTATTGCAAATGTCCTACCAATTTGATTTGAAACTGTCTCATTGCTATGTGTTTATCAATAAAATTATGGGGAAAACAAAAAGTTACACACACACAAAAATAAATAAATAAATAAATAAAT